CAGTGTTTTCAAATTTATCATTAAGAAATTATAGATTAAGGGTTCAGAACCCCGTACCAACCAGCTGCCAAAAAAAGAAAAAGAAGTTACAGACTTAGAGAGGAACACTTGGGACTTTTGCCGGCATGCTGAATATTTTTCTTAATAATGAAAATGTCTAGTGAACCACTGTTTGAGCTGGTTAGCCTCCTTCTCCTTCCTCTCCTCTTCAGTGATTATTTCCTACGGTGTGCTCTGCTTGCATATTACACTCTTCTCTAAGATTTCACATTGCCCAGAATCTAAACTATGCTCCTTAACCTTTTCTGGAACAGAAATACACTTTTTAAAAATTATACAAGCAAGTATTGGTTAATTGTTAATACCAGGCACTGAGCTAAACCTATGGGTTTGAAAAGATGAAGATGATCCCTGTCCAGCAGATTTGCTTACAGTAAGTATAGAATTGTTTATTGGGGTATCTCCAGTTCACATATCTGGAGAGGATAATTCTACTGTCAATAGCTGTACCCCTCCAAAATCTGTTGGGCTTCTCATCTTCCAGCCCAGCATTCTGTCTTTCCAGCCCACTCTCTGCAGTAACAGCTCCAGCAGTTGTTCAGCCACTCCAGGATTGTTAAGCCATTGGCCTATCCACAGTTTTTCATCCTGCCTCATTCGTCCACATTCTCACATCTCTCTTTGCCTGGCTTAAATCTGTGGTCTGTCATTGTGATTGTCACATTGCATACACCTTGCCCATTCTTGTTCTTTTGTAGCTCCCTGGCAAAACCTCAGTGTCAGCTTTCAAATCTTCTGTACCTGAGCAGCTACCAGACCATGACCAGAGAAAAACAGAAAACCATACTGACTTGTCTCACTTTAAATTCATGTACGCAGCTGGTTAGCCTTTTATTCATTTAACTTTGAAAAATATATTACGTTGATATCTGCTGAAGTTTTGTGTCTATTAACTATTCAAGTTTATGATTGAAAGAATTTGTTCAGTTGTTGTTTTGCATTAACTAACCTTACATTTTTGCTTTGACCCTCTTTTAAAGGCTTTTAGCCTTCGGTGTTGAAGCCATGGGTAATTGCCTATAGAAGGAATAGCAAACAGTATGAAACAAAAAGACTGTATTGTGTAGATGCTGGATTCATTATTTGTTAGTATAGATTAGGATTTTTGGCTTTTGGGGGGGGCGGTGTTTTAATTTCTTAGGCAGTTAAGAAACTTACTTGGTTAAATAAGAGGCATCTGACTACTTTGCACTTTCTTCATTTTTGGTTGTTGAATTCTTGACCTGTCTAAAATCAATGTCTTTGTTGCTTCTGAACACCATTATGGTTGATTATATAACAGAACTGACCTGATTATATAAATTTCTCTAATTTTATATGTTCTTTAACTTACTATAATGGTTCACTACATTAAAAAAATCTTCTCTGAAGAATTATAATATGGCTTGGGGAACAACCTGATAGGGTTGTTGAGAGTTAATACATTTTACAGTTCAGGAAACAAGGAATCTTGATGTTGAGCTGTTGTGGATAGGATGATCCAGGGGGCTATTTTGTGGAGAATCTGGAGGAGGTTGTACAGATCCTGTGGATGTCTTTGAGCAGAAAACTTTTTCATTTGAGGGGATACTGTAGGGATTAGAACAGGCAAAAGTTCTTACTCTAGGAACTTACTTTCTAGGGTGGGGGAGAGAGACAATAAATAATAAACTCAATGAATAAGTGGTTATGTATTTGTAAAGTGATAAGTTCTGTGGAATAAGGAATATCAGTGAATGTTTGGTGATTGAGTTGCAGTTTTAAATAAGTAGGGCGTTATTGAGAAGGTGATCTTTCAGCAAAGATTGAACAGAGTTGAAAGAGGTAGCCATGAATTACCTGGAAGGAAAAGTTTTCTAGGCAGAGGGAAGAGCCAATTATACATTATAAATAAGTAGGGTGTGCCTGACATGTTTGATGACCCATGAGGAGACTTGTGTCTAGGGCAAAATGACCGAGGAGAGAAGTAGTGAGAGACACGGTAAGAGAAGTAGGTAATGGCAGGTCAGGTAGGGACTTGCAGGTTATTGGAAGGAAGGGATGGATGGTTGTGCATACCATTCATAGTACTTACTAACTTTGGATCTAATGAGGAAAAACAATGAGAAAAAGTTAACATTTTTTGAATTTCTACTACATTCACTCATCCTGTAGATATTTTTCAGCATCTTGTATGGACTGTGCCTGTGACAAGACTGAAAACTAGGCGTAGACACAGCCGGAGAGTCAGGAGTGTGGTCATTTGGTTGGTTGGTTGGTTTACTTTTGGCAGCTGGCTCTTGACCTTAGTGTTATCAGCACCATGCTCTCTCAAGTGAGCTAACCAGCCAACCCAAATTTGTGGTTTAAGAGGTTATCACACCAGTTCTCGATGGTGATGAGATCAAAGGCAGGGCAGGTCTTATGTGACACAGGGCGAAGATTATAGAAGGAATATGAATCAGGAAGTTTTTTTCCAATGAAATAAGTTCTTTTAATGTTTTACTGGACGGACATCCTGACACCTTTTAAGTGAATGTTATCTGTTCCCCGTTCAAGTAGCCTTTTTGGAGTTTGCTTCCCTTTATCTTCAGAAGAAGCATGAAGCCCCACCTCTCAAGAGGGTCTTAGGTTGTACTTGGTATAACAGAAAGCCTGTTCAGTAAAAGACAAAGCCTTATTTCAGACTTGGAGTCTGTTATTTTCCACAACAAAATCAATCCACATAAGAGCAAATGTGAAGAGAGACTTCATCGGGTAGCAGGAATGTGCCACTCCCATTATCTGTTGATGGTGACTCAGATTGGGATTGAGAGAAGCAAGTACTGTTGAGATGGTTTCTCCTGAGCTTTTATCTTCCTTTGAGGATTGAGTGCAGTTTCCTGCTGTGTCAACACCTGCTGGGAGTGGAGTGCCTGGGGGCGGGGGGTGGCAGGCCCAGGAAATTTCTGTCTTTTCCTACCTGGGCTGCCTAAGGAGAGATTTTTTTGGAGAGACCCTGAGGTGGCCAGGTGTCAGTCACTCTGGGATCCACTCATGGTGCTGGATTAGATGGAAGAGAGGAGTCACAAGTAGAGCAGAGCTGGGGGAGGGCAAGGCAGGTTGAGCCCCAGAGGAGAAGGCAAATGGAGACATCCGAAGACCGAACGTGGTGAAGACCGTGGCTGAGGACACGAGAGGGAGCAGAGCCAATGGACACTGTCAGAGGAGCTTGTGCTTGGTAGGCTGGGCCCTGACTTTTGTGTGTCTTTGGTTTTTTTTAATTTTAAGATTTACTTGTACATATTTGTGGGGTATGGTGTATTGTTTAATACGTGCATATACTGCACAATATGAATCATGAAATTTTGAGGTTAGGTTTTGAAGGGTTCTGGACATGTCCCAACATGATGGTGGGAACTGAGCTAAAGAAAATGATGGAAAGTGGAGGTCGGAGTGTCCACCTGTTGTTCAGAGCTGCTTGATGGAACAGCCCTTGGTTCCTGTGATTGGAGAAGGGATTGGCTGGCATTCTTCATGTTCCATTTTGGACGGTACCCTTCTTTGTGGAGGGCCAAGGAGTCCAAGGTGGAAGTGGGAAGGCCTGGAGTGGTTTGAGGAGAACAATGTATAAATATAAACCTTGCTGTGTAGTTGAAGAGGGGGTGGCTCAGTCTGTGCTGCTGCCGTCTTTCCCTTTGGGCTCTCCTGGCCTTTGAGGAAACAGCACTTCAGGTTTTGTTGTGGTTTGCTTGCTCGCTCTTTGCCTACCTCCAAGCAAATATTTCAGGAAGTTATAATGTCTGTTTTAGTTGAAATCTAATGTTTCACCTAGATGTCACTACTCTGTACATTCTGTTGCAACATTTTTTTGTTGCAAAGTTACAAATTGGCAACTTTTTTGTCTTTTTACTGGCCCTGATAGGCTTCATTGACCTTGCTTAGAGAACATTTTCTCCCACTTCTAAAGTGTTGGTGTTTGTCTGTGCATGTTCTTTAATTAAGTGCTCACAGCTGTCACTGCAGACCCGTGATTGGTGCCTGACTTTCCTTTGCTCTGTGGTCATTTCCAGCCACCCCTCTGGTGTTACAGTTGGTGGGAGTTTTTGTTTTATTGTTGGGTTTCTTGGGTGTGTTGCTGTTTTGTTTTTTGTTGACTGACTTGTCCTCATCTTTTGAGATGATAATATCATTTTAAAAATTATTTTATACTTTGGAAATAAGTAATTTATAAGTAGTATCTCTGTAGATTTCTTATGTGTGTATATTATTAATACAGGGTTTTCTGCCCTGAGTCTGTTCATTGAGACTGTTTTGTATGTATGTGCATTGGGCTCTTCAGAAAGAATTCCTTAGGAGGTTGCGTGAGCCTCTATGAAGACCAGATATTATCAGAAAGCTCAGAAGAAATTGCTGTTTAATGCATATTTTGTTCTTGCTTTGTTTTGCAAGGCATCATAAGAGAGAAAACAGAATTATTTTGAACTCTTTATTTGAAAATAACCATTAGATCTAGAGTAGGCACTGGGGCAAGGTATAACCTTTGGTTAGAAAGTAGAACTATTTTTTTTTTCAAGTTGCTTATTTTTAATAGATTTTAAGATCTTTGGGTTAAAAAAAAAATATTGTAACTTTATAGTTGAAAGTGACCTTAGATGCCCTGTCGTGATACATGTAGTTCCTCATGAGAAATTAGAACCTGAAAAAAATTACCAAGCTGAAAGTGATCCAGGACAAAGGTGAAGAAGTATCCATTAACGTGGACAAATGATTGTCAGCTGTTTTACTGCCATTGGTTCTCTGAGCATTAACATGTTGGCCTGCAGTTTAAATTGTTGAACCCTTTTATAAAATTCAATGCTATCCCTATGTTTTCTTGTATTGAATCTCTGTTAACAGTATGCACAAGGGTCCTACTTGGTGGTTTGGAAAACAGTGAATATATTGGTGGATGGTTTTTTAAAAGTGTACCGAAGTGTCTAACTTTTCTATCTTTTTTTTAGGAAATTGAAAATGGCCCTTCAGCTATGCTAGGGCTATGATGGGAAGTGTCACAGTTCGATATTTCTGTTATGGGTGCCTCTTTACATCTGCAACGTGGACAGTTTTGCTTTTCGTTTATTTCAACTTTAGTGAAGTGACTCAGCCACTTAAGAATGTGCCCATCAAGGGGTCTGGGCCCCATGGACCATTTCCAAAAAAATTCTATCCCCGTTTCACTCGAGGTCCAAGTCGAGTATTAGAGCCACAGTTCAAAGCAAACAAAATTGATAGTGTAATAGATAATCATTTTGAAGATCCAGAAAAAGGCCACCTGAAATTCTCTTCTGAATTGGGTAAGTATATTTGATTTCTACTAACAGCCATATCAGAGTATTTAATCATTGGAAGTTTAATTATTCTTTAAATCATGTGTTGCTCAGGAGATTAGAAATGTGTCATTTTTTTTCCACACTAATTTATTTTGTTTGTGACCTACCTGAGGTTCTGTGATTTTAGCAGACTCAGTGGGGAGTTATAGTCTAATTTGTCCAGTTCTGACTTCGGTATTTTATGAGAACTTGAGAGAAACTGAAAGGTCCATAGAAGGGAGAAAAGAAAAGGGTGAAAAAGAAAATGGAATCTGTGGGAGATGGTTTTAATTGCTAGGATTATTTAATAAGGGAAAGAAATGGTTGAAAGGTGACTGTAGGAGGGTACTTCAAAAAGTTCATGGAAGGATTTGTATTATCTTTCAATTCTATTTTGACCCATTTTTTTGAAGTACCCTTGTATTTAACTTATTTTGAAAGGTAGATTTAATTAAAATAGAACATAAAGCATTGGGATTAAAAATAAGCCGGGATTACTTATATCTAATAAGATTTCTACTTACTAGAATTATTAAGGCCCTGGGGGGAGATTATATATATATATATATATATATATGTAGGTTTTATATGTATATATATATATATATATATATATATATATATATGGGGTATGAAAAATAGAAAGCTTTTTGTTTCTCCCCAAAATTATATTTTGTTCAATTTGGAAGGAAGAATCTACTGTATAGGTGCTTCAGTACTACAATTCTAGAGTATTGGTTTTAGCAAACTTTATTTTAAAAATAAGTGAACCAATTTGGTTATTCTCAAAACTTTAAAGAACTTTACTCTTGTCATAGAAACATCAAATAAAAGGTAAGTTAGTAGTAAAAACACATAATAAGAGATTGAGAGAGCCATAGAATATAAAAGAAATGTTATAACAGACTTCTCCTTTAGTCACAGTTTCAAAGAAGTAAAATCAATTTTTAGGACTTAATGATTTTCTAGTAAAGGAAGTCAAATATTAAAAATCATATGAGGAAACAGAGCTAATATCTACTTCAAGTTTTGTAAAATACACCTTCTAGTCTTTTTCTAACAGCCAGTAGACTTTTTTAAAGCATTAATGGGAAAATTTCTAGGTCTTTCATTTAGTCATAGTTATTTTGGTAAAACTTTTATTAAAGAAGTAACATTAGGTTTACCATTTTGAATGTACTTTGTATTTGCCTTTCAAAGGAGTAATGAGAGAATTGTATATACTCAAACTGGCAAACTCGAACTGCCTAACTGAAAAACTAAATTCCTTATTGAAAATCCTGAAGAATCCACCAAAAAAACCTATTACTGCTAATAAATGAATTCAGCAGTTGCAGGGTACTAGATCAGTGCACAAGACCGAGTTTTGTTTCTGCAATGAATAGTCTGAAGAGGAAGGTGAGGGAACAATTGCATTTACAATAGAGTCGAAAAGAATAAAATATTTAGGAATCATTTTAGCCAAGGAGGTGCAAGACTCACGTACTGAAAATTGTAAAACATTGCTAAAAGAAATTAGAGTAGACCTACATCAGTGGGAAGACATCCCAGGTTCATGGAATGGAATACTCAATATTGTTAAGATGTAAGGAAAACCCCAAGCAATCTATAGATTCAGTACAATCCCTTTCAGAATCCCAATGCCTTTGTTGAAAAGATGGAAAAGTTTATCCTAAAATTATTATGGAATTGCAGGGGCCCTGAATAGCCAAAACAATCTTAAAAATTTGGAAGACTCATACTTCCCAATTTTAAAACTTCCTACAAATCTACAGTAATCAAAACTGTGATACTGGCTTAAGGATAGATACGGAGATCAGTGGAATAGAACTGAGAGTCTGAGATAAACCCTATGACATGTATGGTCAATTGATTCTCAGAGAGGGTGCCAAGACCATTTCATGGGGAGGAAAGAACAGTCTCTTCAATTAATGGTTTTGTGATAACTGGTATCCACATGCAGAAGAATGAAGGTGGACATTTACCTCACATCATGTACAAAAATTAACTCAAAATGGATCAAAGACCTGAGCTAAAACCATAAAACTCTTAGAAGAAATCATAGGGGGCCGGCCCGGTGGCGCACTGCTACAGTGCGCCGCTTGAGAGCGCGGTGGCGCTCCCGCCAAGGGTTCGGATCCCACATACAGACCGGCCGCTCACTGGCTGAGCGAGGTGCGGGTGCAACACCGAGGGTTGCGATCCCGTTGCCGGTCCCGGTCCCGGTCCAGTACGGGCGCGACACTGAGGGTTGCGATCCGTTGCCGGTCACGAAAAAAGACAAAAAAAGGAAAAAAAAAAAAAGAAGAAATCATAGGGATAAATCTTCATGATCTTGGATTTGGCAGTGATTTCTTAATATGACACCAAAAGTACAAACAACAAAAGAAAAAAAATAAATTGGACAATATCAAAAATAAAAACTTTTGTACATCAAAGAATACTATCAAGAAAGTAAGAAAAGACAACCCACAGAATGGGAGAAAATATTTGCACATCATATCTCTAATAAAGGTCCAGTATCCAGAATATATATAAGGAATTCTTGCAACTCAACAGCAAAAAGACAAATAGCTCAATTTAAAAATGGGGAAAGAATTTGATAGACATTTCTTAAAAGAAGGTATACCAGTAACCAACAGGCACATGAAAAGGTGCTTAACATAATTAGTTATTACATTAATGCAAATAAAAACCACAAAGAGATAAACATTTTACACCCATTAGGATGGCTATATTAAAAAAGGGAAAGTGACAGGTGTTGGTGAGGATGAAGCGAAATTGGAACCTTCATATATTGCTGGTGGGAATGTAAAATGGTGCAGCCACTGTGGACAGTTCAGTGGGTCCTCAGTAAGTTAAACATAGGATTATTATATGACCCAGCAGTTCCACTCCTGGGTTTATACCTGGAAGAATTTCAAATAGGTGTTCAAACAAAAATTTGCATACACTTGCATAAAAATATAGAAATAGACCAATGGAACAGAATAGAAAACCCAGAAATAAACCCACACACTTACAGCCAACTGATTTTCAACAAAGGTGCCAAGAATATACACTGGGAGGACAGCCTCTTCGATAAATGGTGCTGGGAAAACTGGATATCCACCTGCATAAGGCTGAAACCAAACTCCTGTCTCTCACCATACACAAGAATCAACTCAAAATGGATTGAAAACCTTCATTTAAGACCTGAAACTATGAAACTACCAGAAGAATACACAGGGGAAATACTACACAAAGTGGGAGTGGACAGTGCTTTTTTGAACAAGATTATAAAGGCACAGGCAACATGGCTATTATCTGATTTTGATAGGATAACGACAAGATTTTTTTAAGAGCATAACATAACAGTAACTGTGCTGATTCTTTCCAGATTTGGTGCACTGACTGCAATTTCACTCTTTTGCAGGTATGATTTTTAATGAACAGGATCAGGAGTTGAGAGACTTGGGCTACCAGAAACATGCCTTTAATATGCTTATTAGTAACCGCTTGGGCTACCATAGAGATGTGCCAGATACAAGGAATGCAGCGTATGTGCCTTCTACATTTCTGCTAACACATTTGAATAACACAGTGCTTTTAGTGCCAGTGTAAGAAGCCGTGAGGATAGTGTTCGTATTTTGCAGTTGGGTGTCATTATTCAGCATGCTAGAAAACTGGAGACAGATTTCCGCTTGTATTATACTTGAAGCCACATGGTGTGAGATTGTACTGACAAAGTTCTAGAGCTTGCTGTGTCTCTTTTGAATTTTAAATCATGTGGGAAATAGGAGGGAGGTACTAATTAAATAACATGAGTATTGGTTGGTTGCAAGTGTTTATTTACTGGGTCCATGGCAAAAGGACTTAAGATCAGTGAAGAATTTTACTAAGTCTCACTTTTCTGTTTCTTTATTTTTGTTTCTCCAAGGTCTTTTCATTCATGGGGGCAGTCATTCATTCCACAGACAGATACTTGCTGGGCACCTTATGTTTGCTACACATGGTATTAGGCCCTGGAAAGAAACAGTATGAGACGTGTAGTCCCTGGGTTCACAGTGTTGAGCAGGGGAGGCGGGTCAGTGAACAGGTTGTTACAGCAGCACATAAATGAGGGCTGTGATAGGAGTGGGTGACGTGGGGGCCCCGAGCCCACAGTGGCCAGGGAAGGCGTCACAGAGGTGACGGCTGAGCAGTGATGCCAGGGAAGCCTTTCTATGCACAGCACGTGGAAGGCGCTGAAGCGTACCACCGGGGTGGGGGGGGGGGGTTCGGGCCCAGGACAAAAGCCTAGTTCACTCTGGCTGCGGTGGGAGAACAGCAAGAGGCTGGAAGTGGGCAGGGCCTGGTCAGTG